TTCGCGTGGTGCAGGGGCGCGACGCCTCGTGACACTTTCTGACTTTGCGATAGAAAATAGGTTTTGAAATGTACATTTACGCTAAAAGCAAACGCTTCTAGGGGCAGTTTGTATCACTGCATATGTTAAACTGGACACATGATCTTTGTAGAAAGCCAAGGCCTAAGCCTAGATTTCCATGTCATTCTGATGAAAGATAGTGTTAGAAGTGGTCATAAAATATAGAACTATAGGTTCGAAGTGTCTAAATATGGAGAAACGAAAAAGCTAAATCTGAAAGGAAAAAATAAAAAATAAAGAAAAGCCAAAACTTGGAATCCACCACGCAAATCCACCAAGCAAATACTTCTAAGTAATTTGGATTTACAGACCAGAAAGGTTGCTCTGAAGATATTTTTCTAGTACCATAAACACATTATATTGACTAGAACGACTAGAAGTGCAAATGACCTTTTCCCAGAAGTAATCATAATCAAAAACACAACTGAAAGTCAACGTTTAGAACATGGATGAGAGAAGCAAAAATCCAGTTCATTGCTCAAAAAGCAGCACGAGACCCAAACAGTGAGCCGTCCCAAATCGATCCTAATCGTGTACACAGACCCGACGCCCTATTTAAACAGTTGCATCCAGCAAAAATCATCGTTTCCTTTCGCTGCATTTTATCTATGTGTGTGAAATGCTAATGAAAGCGTGACGGTGTTGATCCTGAAACAACAGAGTTACGGGAACATTTCAGAGGCACCACAGACCAACATCCACGGCGAGATGAAAGCAAGTCTGGTGCCAACAATGGAAGAATTTCAGGCCGCAACACTACTCATACGAAGTGTAATAAACATGGTGTGATGAAAGGCTCCAGCAATGGAAGGAATTTAGATTGCGAGAGAAGTGCAACAGAAGAGCAACCACTAGAAACCGGTTATAAAATAGAAAGATCACAAAGAATATGTCTTCCCTGCTTCGGAGCTCCAAGTTGAAAGTAAGGACAGATAATTATCTGGTTTCAGTCAATGTGAAACAAAATCCTCACGACGCACATGGTTGGTTACATCATCCTGGAAGTTGCGCAAAGTGGGGCTATTCAGGACTGCTTTAATCAACTAACATTAAAATATAACATTGACTCAACGAACGTATCGGATCAAAAAAGGGAAAACAGTCAATCCAAATCCAGAAAGAAATCAAATCTCAAAGTGTTGCAGAACTGAGTTTCTACCAACTGATCACAAACAAGTGCCAGTACTCGTCACGGTTCACACAAGTTTAAGAGGTCCCTCTACTGCAAAATAGAGTTACTCTAACAAGACCAACAGAGGGAAGAAGATGACCCTGTTTGACAATTATTCTTAGTTCAAAGCTCTCAGAACCCACACGTAGAGCTGAGCATGTTCATAATGAAGCAGCTTTTTTTGGTGTTAATGAGCATGCTTGTGTCCAGTCCACGAGGCAAGCTACACTTACCCATACACTTAACCCTACATGCATTGTTGTATCAGGGGTTCCCAAACTTTTCCAGGGCAAGGCTCGCCAAATGGCATTAACATTTGACCGAGGCCCCACTTTTGCAAGATGTCTTTAAAACACAGACCTCTGAATATATCCCCCATTTTTTATTATTAATAATTACATCTTTACATTACATTAGAAATTGATTGTGTGTGTGTGTGTGTGTGTGTGTGTGTGTGGTTGTCTGAGAGTGAGAAAAAGAAAACATTCTAGTGGGAGGGATGGGCACACCAAATTGTTGAGGCCCCCGAGCACCCCCTGGTGGCCTCCACTTTGAAAACCACTGGTATAGATGTTGTCTCATGAGTCATGAGTGGGACAACAGCATGACTTCAACCTGCACAGAGTCCATTCAAGTGTAATGGACTGGTGTCCCACCCAGGGTGTTTCTTGCCATCTCAAACCCAGCTTTCCTAGGACAGGATCTGAATCCACTTGATCCACAATGAATGAATGATTGAAATGAACACATGAACAAACAAACAAGGAACAGCAGATACAATCCAAAATCAATGATTCAACTAAGTTCACAATATTCTTTTTAACCACTGAAATGAAACCATATGTTTTCTACATTTCTAAAAAAAAACAAGGCCATGAAGAGTCAATAACATGCTTTGGTTTGCACGGAGTAAAGGCACCATGCTGAAAAAAAACAGTCCACTGTTTATAAAAACACGATTAGGTTTTCAAAAGATTTGTCATTTTACATGGAGATACTTAACAAGCAACAATGCAACTCCTAAGAACTGCTATTTCTGGCACACAACCTGCCCTTGCAGTCACTCATCAGATGCTTGTGGGAGGCAACTTATGCTTAAGGCTTTGTTTTGTTTTTTTTCTCCACTAATCTAGCAGTCATACCACAAGAACTGTATGAAAGTGCACTGATGAATGCATTTAAAATGGGAGACAATAAAAGTGCATTATGAACAAAAAAGGGCTATAATTAGCCAGAATTGCATGGCGCAAACCACAGTCTGACTTTGTAGCGAATGAATACACAGTACAAGTGACTCACTGAGTGACAGCTGTTTGGACAGTAAGGAGAAGTTCATTCTACTACTTGCATGTCAGCAAAGTGAAGCACGTCTTATCTTCAGGGATATTGGGTCAAGTTGAGCCATTCTAGTGGCTCAAATAAGGAGACATGGTACAGGTCAGGGTCTCAAAAGTGCATTTAAGTAGGTGGGGGCAACAGGAAGCCAAATGATGGAACACAGCAGTGAGGCGATGTGGGAGAACCTGGAGAGTTCTCAAAAACTAGTCATGCAGCCACCATTTTGGATCAGATGTGGGAGTTTAATGGGGCTCATGGGAAGATCTGCCAGGACTAGGTTGCAGCATTCCAACCTTGAGATAACAAGGGGCAGAACAAATATCTGAGTTGCCTTTATGAAGAGAAATGGCCAGATCCTCCTGATGTTGTAAAGGAGAAACCGATATCGGGACCATCTGGAGAGAATGGTGTTTTGTTGTTTGGTTGGTTCATGACAAACAGATTCGTGACAAAGATTCATGCTTTGTCAGATGGTATGATCCAAGATCCAAGCTCTTGATGTGGCAATGCATCACCAGGCAAATATATTTACATGAAAGGACTATGTTTGGATAAAAACAACAGTAACTGGAGGTCAGCATGTAAGGGTAATACTTGGCCAAGAGAAGAAGAGTGAAGATAATAACATAGCCAGAAAAAAGGCCAGCCTGTACTGAAACAAAGGTAGCTTGGGGGTGTGGATTCAAAGGGTAACTTGAATAAAGTGACTAACTAACTGGTGTACCTATTAGTACTGCAGACACTGCAGACCTCTGGACTAGATACACCCTTAATACATCATAGCAAAGGCTTTTGCATTGGGGGCACTGGAGGCTTGGCAGTTAAGGTTCTGGGTTACTGATCAGAAAGTCAGGGGTTCAAGCCCCAGCACTGCCAAGCTGCCACTGTTGGGCCCTTGAGCAAGGTCCTTAACCCTCTCTGCTCCAGGGGTGCTGTATCATGGCTGACGAATCTCTGCAGACTGACAACACAGCAATAAAGCCTGTAACTGCAACCCATGCAGATATAATTTTCATAGTAAGTATGCTGAGGCCTTAAGCCCTGCCCAAAAATTCACATCTTATGAGATGACATAGTCCTCGCTGCAGAACCAAAAGTCCAGGGGGTAGAAGCTAGACCTATAAGCCTAACCCTAACCCTGGTACATAACCCTAACCAACACAACACTGTACAACAGGAAACATGACACTTAACACATTAATCCAGTCTGAAACACACTAAGCTGTCTCGACCTCCTGTACTTCTGTGTTGCACAGGTAGGAGGTGGTAGATCAGGTCTATAGCAATTGGTACTTAGGGAGTCCAAAAACACACCTTATTCAAAAATGAATGTAAAAGATCTATTAATGTTTGCAAAATCGTGCTAGTTCTGATTTCACTAGTTTCTTAGCATGACCAGTAAACTGGGACACACACATGCGCATAACCTCTACAGTACATATTTTTGGACAGACACACAAAAAAAGACCATAATACAAGGACATAATTCACATTAAGAGCTCAAGGATAAATGTGTTGTACTTCTGGGAATCCTTCTCGTCTGATTTAACTAAAGTCACAAGCACCAGGCAGCACAGGAGAAAATCATATTTACAGAACAGACTCTCCTTCAGAGTCTCAGGAACATGCAGTGAGAGATCAGCTCACCCTAAAACAAACACTACAGATTTAATATTCGCTAGGTTACACCAGGATAATATGAAATCCAGAGCAATATCTCACCTGGATAATATGATATAGGGAGTAATATCGGGTAGGTTAATGAGATACTTTCTGCTGTGATAATTGCAAATATTGCCATATTGGTCTCAAATGTAAATGATGAGGGCGAAACTCTCATAAGCTTCTGTTCTAACAAGCAGTGAGCTTTAAATATAGATGAAGCAAAATATAGTCTGATGAACGAACAGGAAGATCATTTTGCATTAATGCTCATAACTGTGATTGAACTTGCTTTAAACTACTGTTTGAGCCACGCTGGTCTGGAAATCAAATCAACACCTTCTGGTTTATAACTAAAAAATCGTTAGCACTGTATATCTTGCACTTAATATTTGTGTGACAACTCACACTCGAGTTATATATTATATATATATCATACATATACTTCAGTGCAATGTTAAGAAACTGGACATTTCTGCATGGATGTGAAAAATCCATCCATCCATCCATCCATCTTCTACCGCTTACTCCTTCTTCACGGGGAACCTGGAGCCTATCCCAGGGAGCATCGGGCACAAGGCGGGGTACACCCTGGACAGGGTGCCAGTCCATCGCAGGGCACAATCCCATACACACTCACACACCCATTCATACACTACAGACCTTTTAGACATGCCAATCAGCCTACCATGCATGTCTTTGGACTGGGGAGGAGGACCCGGAGGAAACCCCCACAGCACGGGGAGAACATGCAAACTCTGCACACACAGGGCCACGGTGGGAATCGAACCCCCGGACCCTGGAGGTGTGAGGCGAAAGTGCTAACCACTAAGCCACCATGTGCCCTGGATGTGAAAAATGAAAAAAAAACAAAAAAACAGTATGTAGATGACTTTCTTTCAACTCACAAAGCTAATAGTAACAGTTTTTTTTAACAGACTCATTTTTGTCATATATATAGAATATCAGTAGACCTTTTTTTATTTATATTTTTAAACCGATGCAAATTGAAGAATTAACCTTTGCACTGTGTATTTACACGCGAGAGCGCTTTTCTGTTGGTGGTCAAGGGGCTGATAATGCAAATCATATGTAATAAAATAATAACTGTGCGCTTATCTGCCTGTGAGGCTGTGGGCCATTTTGAGTGCTGGTAATTATTTCTCAACCCATAAAGGATGATCTGCATTTTAATACAGCTGTCATTTCTCTCCGAGCCATACGGCACCATTGTGCGCTGATTGCTATGACGACATTCTCGCTTCTCTCTTATCTCCCACCTACACTGTATTGCTGTAGAATTAACAAGAGAAGAATCAGGATGACTCCTTTGTTTGCTCGTTCATATTCTTTTTGAGGAGGCCAGACTTTTCGATCCTGGGGGATCCCTGAACATTGTGAGACCTAATCCCTTCGATCAGGTCCTGGGTCGACCCTGGGGTCTTCGTCCATTGGGACGTGTTTGCTACAGCTGTAGTGGGAGCTAACCACAGGGCATCTTTGTCAGGTGCCCAAATGGGAGCTTCGGAGGAGCAACGGCTCTGCGCAGAGGCTCTCCAGGATTGTCGAGCTCTTCAATCTATCTCAGCAACTCTATCGAGGATCGTCTTCTACCTGTATTCACGACCTTATGCTTTCAGTTTCTACCCAAGCTCTTGATCATAGATGACGATAGGGACATACTGGTGAATAGCCGGCTTTGTCCAAAACCTGAACTCTTGCCTTACCGTGAATTAACCAGTAATGTCTATTTCAAAGTCACACTAATGCAAGTAAATGATAATAGTCCACCTTTTATTGGCTAATTGGAATAAAGACTCAAAATATGGCTTAATAATAATCCACATGACTTCATTACTGGGAAAAGTAAAAAAGATCCAATCGAATTAATCTGGGATTAAGCAAATTGAGGAATCAATATCAATTACTCGGTTATAACTTGAATTCTATACTGAATCCTAGTGGCTAATTGCTGAACTTTGCTGAACTTTCCAAACTCTAGCCGAGATGAAACTAAACAGAACTGTAGAAACTGAGCTATTTTCCAAATGGAGGCCAAAGAAGCAGCTGACTGAGATTAATACGATTCAGCTTCCTCACCTGATTGGGAGAGTCAGAAATAATCATACTAGAAGTATTGCACTTTAAATGGAAAAATAACCTGCACTGTATGCCATGTAATTCTGAATTATATCCGGGAGAGTTAAATGAAACATGATCAAACCTGACAGTCAATTAAACAAGCGTATTTCCAGAACTTCTTTCTTTTCTTGATCGGCCAAGTTTATTGGCCAATATATTGAGTTCTATTTAAGCTCGTTATGCTAACAGGATACTTCAGTGAATTTGAGAATATGTGCCATGTAAATAACACATCTCACAAACAGTGGTTATAATACAGCTTCCAGGTTGTAACACTAGAAATCGTGGGAAGATTTAAGAGGGGTAACAGGTAAAGTTCATTATGTTGTTGAAAAACTTTAGACATTGGACTAGTGATTGTAATAACTAGTAATCTCCATACCTGGAGTGTTGAGTAGGCGTGATGAGCGGCAGGTGTAGGTGACGTGCTGCTCGCAGTGCTCGGCAGTGTCTGTAATGGCGCCGATCTGCTCCATGGTGGCGTTGTAGTTCAGCTTTAGCACGGTGCGTCTCTCCCTGCTCGAACCCGATACGGCTGTCTGAGCGGGCAGGCTGTTCCCCACCGTCGTCCACACCTTGTCCTCTGAAATACACATTTATAACTCAACCCTGTCACTAACCCAAGGTCAGGATCGCATGACGAGTGATATATTTAGGCAATGTTTTCAAACAGTGTAACAATAAAATATTATAATCTCTCATATGTTAGTTCTGAACTCATTTCTATCCTCCACAGTTCCTCACACTCTTACTGGAATAAGTTCTAAATTCTATCCGTATGAATTTGCCACTGAGCTCGATTTAATCAGTGTCTCAGTGCAGAAATTCATCAGACTGTTCAAAGACATCGCGTCTGCCTTAAACTGATAACATTCCATGGGCTGAATCCACACACCCTCATACTGACTAAGCGACTTATTTCGTGTATTTTATTTAATTTGGTTTTTTTTTTGGAATACAGTGACGCTTAACATTCGAGTCCAAAATCATTGCTGTGCTACAGGGGCAAGTTTCCTTGGAAACTAATGTAAAGTCAACTGTTTGGTGTGTTACAGGATGACACATTTTTATTTATTTTTAATTTTTGTATTTTTTTAAAGCTCCTAAGTGAACATTTATGGTTTTATTTTTTTTCCCCCTGGAATCCCTAGCTAAGGACTGAAGCATACAGTATATAATTAGCAAGTGTAGCAAGTGCGACTTCGTTCGGAGAGTCTCTGCCTCCCCTTAGGAGTTCTCATTTGATCCCGTAATAAAATAATCACAGACTGTTTAATAATGTGCATTAAGTAATAAAACACTCGGGAGCATTGTGTGATCGGGAAATAATGTCAACAACACACCGTGTGGCGTGATGATGTTTCGACCTCACCACAGCAATTTGCCACGGATTTATATCATTGTAATTTATTACAGAAAAAACCCCAAAACGCATTAACAATTGTATCTGTTAATAGTTACATTTAAAGTTGTGGAATGTCTACGAAACAAGCTCCTTTTATCACTTACGTTGTAACAGCTATAAAGACTCTCACCATACTCCTTTCTCTAACATATACAATATTGATCCATCATGATTCCTTAATTCAAACCGTATCTTGAGAATATTGCTAGTGGCTTTTGGAACGTGCATATAAATTACCTGTCATTTTACAAATGACTCTGAACGCTCCTAAAGGTCCGCTGCCATCGGGATCGATCCAGTAGACGTCCGAAGATTTCCCCATGTGCTTATAAGCCTCACACGACTGCTCGTAGACAGCTACAAGAAACAAGACGTCCGGCAGATGGTTCAAAACGACCGAATACGCAGTTGAACTTATTCTCTCTGACGAGAATAAGAACACGATGCGACTAGACATCGGCAATACGCTTGCAGGTTAATATCTCAGTGCTCGGTTTGTAAATAATGAAAGAAGATATTCATGGTGGATCGAGAGCTTTCTGCATACGGAATAACAATTTCGGTCATTTCTAAAGTCAAATGCTGGGTAACCTGGGAACCCGCAAGCTACTTTAAAATCGTTCCCGGTTCAATAAACCAGTCTGGATGGTATTCTTATACTATATAAGAATATATTAACAATATGAGAATATTATAAGCAGTTGCTGAAATACTCAGTCGAGTACTTCTGGCACCAAAAATCATTCCAAAGTCACTGCAATCACAATTTTCCCCCCATTCTGATGTTTGATGTGAATATTAAATGAAGTGGATTGGCTGATTGGATAATTACATGAATGAGCAGGGGTGCACGTGTGCTATGTAAAGATTCCCCACTGAGGATAAATTTCTAACCGAGAGACAAAATAAAAATCTGGTTAAATGTGAAATGACTGCGCTTCAGTGCGAGTGGGAATGTACAGACGTGGGCGTTCATGTAGACACCAAATCAATAAAAACGAGCTCAAAGCTTTTACGCCGGTCCGTGCTAAAAAGGTCACGCCATCTCAAACATCAGTAAAGCTAAAAGAGGAAATATATCTGAAGCCACCTGCTCTGCCCTGTACTCCATGTCACCTACAAGCAAACAGAAACAGTTATACGCTCAGGTTAAACAGCGCCATTAAAGCTCCTCTGCTCTTCCTGATTATCAAAGCCTGTACCGGCTGATTTTGGGGTGCGAGGTCCAGGAGTGTGTACGTACAGGTGTGACAGGTGGCGCCGGTGTATCCAGTACCGTCACAAAAGCAGCTGAAACTGTCCCAGGTCTGAGTGCACCTTCCTCCATGCTCACAGTGATTAGGCAAGCATCTGAAAAGCAGGACGGAGCATTAGAGGAAAGGACGAGTGGGTTAAATCAGTCTCACATCAAACACAATTGCAGCTTTATTGTCCTGTTCAATGACACACCACTTCACCAGCCTCCATCCAGCTGTTATATAAGCTTTCATAAGAAAAGAAACGCACACACACACACACATCATTAAAGCCTAGGTTGAATAACCTGAAAGAAATATTCCTGCTAGGTCTACACTTATTAAGACTTCTTTCTTGTTTAAAAACGGCATGTTCTGAGCACTCCTTTAAGCATGGAATCCTTTCATGAACGTTTTCTTAATGGAAAAGCTGCAGTGGCTTTATTTTAATAGAGACAAAGGGTCCAGACACATATAAATGGCCTTAGCTATAACCAGTGAACGGATTCTCAAATCTATTAGACATCGTTGCGAAGAAGGTGTTGATTATATTATATTATATAAATGCACTCGTTCTAATACCTCTAAAACCAGATCTGTAAAAGTTGATATTGTGAGGCTTTCCGTGAGGAAGTCTTTTTTTCTTTTTCTTTCGCATTTCTGGAAGGAGTCTCCAGTGCAAGTGCTTTGAACCAGTACAGGTAAAGTCGTAACTTCTGAAAGTCTCTGAATGGCGTGAATTGGGCTTGAACTTGTTTCATGGATGTTCCTCAAGATTAAACAGAACTAGTAACGGACAAAATGTACCACGTGTATTTATTTCATTAATAAAAAAATATCATTGGTGGAAGAACTCGTAGTATAAGACGCATTAAAAGAGTTCAAGGCATGCTGTTATTGGAAAAGCTTATTACACACCAAACTAAAGAAATGATGAATAAGGCTTTAAATATGATATAAGGTTTAATAAAGTCACTGAACTACTAATATATATATATATATATATATATATATATATATATATATATATATATATATATATATCCTGATTTTCTTGGTGCGAA